GCTGCACAGGAAGAAAAACAGTCAATGATTTTATTGGGAGAGAAGTTATTTTCCTTTTTCCAGGTTAGCAATCTGTCTACCTTAAGTAATTTCCATAAGATTCAGCAGTCAGAACAAGTGTCTAGTGTGTCATCTTGGAATATTGGTCTGTTCTAAGGCAGTTTATGGGTAGAGAGAAGATCCTTTGTGAGCTCTAAGTAATTGGAGCTCTGAAGTAATTAGATCAAGTCAGTAGTATTAATTGCTTAGTAAATGCTATAGGTACCCTGAAGAGCATGCAAATAATTCTCCACAATAAGCAAAGACTGCTTGAGGTGAACCTGAAACCCCCGTCATTCCCTGATGATCACTTCCAGAAATCATCACCACTGCCTAGGGTCCTTCTTTAACTGAGTTGAATTTTACTGCTAGCTGAAACATTTGACTTCTCCCACTGGGCCAGGGGTGATAGACAGGCCTCTTTATTTTTGCTTTGTGGCAAAATCTTTTCACTTTTTTTTCTGTGGTCATGAGACGTGATTCTAATTGTTCTGCTCTGATCAATACAGAGCCTTTTCAGACCCAGAGCAAATAATTTTCATGTTAAGTCCCCCCTCTCTTTTCTTCCTCATTGATCTTGCTTATGCATCATCTTTCTGGAACAGAGCCAGAGAGGTCTGTGGGCTGGGGTTTTCTGTGTGTTTTCTGCATGACTGGGAGCTGATTTTACCTCTCTTCTATAAGTATGAGTGAGGTTATTTACAATCCCATCTTCCTGCTTCAGTTCCCTTTAACCACTTGGGAATGCTTCTGTGGTGTTTTACCCAGGTTCTTTTGGCTCTAGAGGCAAAATCTCTCATGTTGCACAGTATGGTTTCTCTTGATCATTTATGTATAAAGTCTCTTGATTTTTCTTAATCCTCCCTTCCTTCCACAGAGCTGTTCCTATCAGGTACTTAGGTACAGTGTGAAATCTTTTCAAGTGAATTTAATGCTACTGAAAGATACTGGGCTGGCAATATACAGAGCAGTAACCTCTATTCACAAAAGGAGAGCATGAACCTCCTCAGGTACAGTTGCGAGCTGAATTGCTGTGGCCTATCTTGAGGTGATTGGGGTGGCTAATCACCAGGAACTGGTCATGAGACATGTTCAAACTTCTGGTCACTCCTGGCTGAGGGCAGACAGTTGTTGCTTTTGCTTTTGGTTTTGTTTTGTGTTGGTTTGATGAAAAAATGTTTATATTGGAACATGGCGGCTACTTTGATAGCATGCTCATCCACTCAGTGCCAAACAGACCTCAGCTCTGTGACAAGAGACAGGGAAAGGTTATTGTCTTCTCAATGCTGAACAAGGAATCTTGCTGCAATGTGTATTTCTCTGTAGTCCACCTGTCAGTGGTGGCAGACTTGAATAAAAATATTGCATCTTCTCCATTTGGATTGGCTAGTTTTTCTTTGCTGGCATTTTTCATTGCACCTGGTATATGCTGGAAGCCAATGCAGAAGGTCCTGAAGTGCTCTGTGACTCCACAAAGCAGGTAGAACTACCACTGACTTGCAGAATATGTGCTTGCTTCTTTTCTGTGCCACATAAAAATCATTTTTATCCTTGCATAGCACTTACCAGATGTCAACCTCAAACTGGAGAAGCTTTAGAAAGCTCAAACCCAGAAAGGAGAGATTAAAAATGGTAGGAAGAGCACACAGATGGCCTGAGGGCAATCAGCTATTACACTCAGTAGAACTGGGTTTTTGTCTTGGGTTTCCTGCAGGTGGAAACTGTTGTCAACAAAGATTAAAAATGTACTAAACTTGAGTGTAGCAAACTGTGGGATTTTTAATTTGTGAGGAGGAGACTGAGAGATGGATGGTGGTCCTCTCTTTTCAACTGCATGGGTAGTACTGCAGTGCTAAAGCTGTGGGTCAGCTCTAGGGAAACAGGAGAGAACTTCCCACGGGCAGGATCCATCAGTAAACTGTGGCCTAACGTCACTGCACATTTGTAATCCGTAATCAAATACTCAGCAGGGTATTAGATATGTTTTCTTTCATGATGCACTACCTTTCTTAGGCAATATAACATTTGTCAGTCGTGTGACTTTGTCTCCAAGGCAGCTAAAACTGGAGATTTACACAGTGATTCTGTAGAGGGGAGTAAATCAAAGAGGGAGAAGAAGAACTTGGGATTTCTCTGGCAGCTTGATGAAATGCATGTTAAGAGTAAAACTAAACTTAAAAATATCTCAGGGCTCCCACTTGTTTCACAGACCCTGGCAAAATGTAACCTCTGGCTTAGGTTTTCCTGACAGTTCCCTCATTTCTCATTGATCAAAATGTTGATCCTGCTTGTTTTGTATCACAGAAGCACTGCTTTCATGTAGGCGGTAAAACAAATAGCAACGTTTGCACCTCACAGCACGAATTTTTTCCTTGTAACAACATCTTTACAGTTAAATTTCACTTTGTTAACTCTGCAAATACATTATGGCTCCAAAATCAGGTGTCCATCTTATGAATATCTTATAGAAAGTCCTGAGGGATCTTGGCAGAGTTCAAAATGAAATTGGCCTCATTCTTTTACCTAAGCAGTAAATAATTCATTTGGTGGTACTTACTGTGTGTTCCTTCTGCCCTCAAGATAGAAGTCAACATTTCTTTAAGGCTTCAGGCTGGCTTTCAAAATGCATGCTATGATGATAATGAAGCCATATTACTTAGATCCTGGCTCCAAGGGCACACAGGATTTTTTTCTTGCTGAATGGAATATGAGATGAGCAGTGACCCCAAAAGTCAATTCTGGAGCACACTGAGCTGGCTGCCCGTCGGGTGAGGTGTGGGCACAGGCAGGGCATTTGCAGCACAGTGCAAAACTGAGGAACCACAGCCTCCTCCTAAATGCAAAGGCAGCTGATTTTGGCACAGAGTATTTCTAATCTGCTGCCTTGCATTTTCCTATTTTGTAACACAGCTTTGATCTGTTTTCTGAGGGAAAAAAAAGGCAATACGTCTTTGGGGTCCAGTCTATCTTTCCAACCTCTATAAGAGATCATGAGTTTTTTGTTGTTTACTTTTTTCAAAGAAAAACATTTCAAAGTAGTGGCACTGATTTACAGAGTGGGGAGCTTAAGATTAAACATGTAAGAAGCATCATACCAGCACCCAAGTTCCTGCCTGTTAAGAGGAGTGAGTCGGATCATCCTGCAGAGAGGTGTGGAAGCCCTTGGGAAGTAGGGAGATCCCACAGCAAGTTCCTCACTGCCACCACCAGGGGCCAAGCCTGGGACACCCGAGTGTGGTGGCTGGGTGAGCCCTGAGGGACTTCAGGCAGCCAGAGTTGGCTTGGATTTTCTGGCATCTGTTTTGTGACATACAGCTTGTCACAGATAAGCCCAAGGGCTGGTGAAGTGCAAAGCTGACTGTAAGCATTCAGCTGCAGCTCAGGACGTGCCTGCTCTGGGATCTTTCAGGATCGCTACATTCGTGATGCTGTTGGGCATGGCAGTAACGCTCAGAGATACTTCTGATTTTCTGATACCTCCCTTCTGAAAATATGGGGATCAAACTATTTGCCAAAGCATCCAGCTTGGTGAAAGTCTGCCAGGCAAGAAGGAGGGGAAGGAGTACTGTAATCCCAAGCCTGTTAGCAAGCAGTTAAGGTCAGGGGAGAATACTTTAAAACCCATGGTAAAAAAACATTTTGGTGCTGTGTTATATAGTGTATATATATATATAAAATATATAATATATGTATATATAATATATAATAAATCAGCCAAGCATGATCAAACACCCACAGTACATTTATAGGCTTTATTTTAAGTTTTGTGAAGTGGATTAGAGGCATTTTTATTCATTAAGGAGATAAAAACCTCTTTGCTGGAACTCAAGTGTTTTATTGAGAAAGTTTGAGTTTTATAGGTGGTGAAAGAACCATAAACAGAGCAATGAAATGGTCAGAGAAAAAAAAAAAGTTGTATAAACTGCTTTAAAAAGAGCAAGAGCATGTCTTTTTCTTAAATCCCTATTTAATAGATCAATGCATTATTAAAAAGAGACAGATGATATACATGAATGGGAAAAAACCCTGGGCCTATGAGTTCTCTCTTGTCTTGCTCTATTTACTACAGCTTGTCTCCCAGCAGCATTTAGAGACACTGAGACTGGAGCCACTGTGATCACTGTAAAGAGGAGGGGAAAAGTCAAAATGAGGTTGGGAAAAAGGGAAGTAGTGCCTTGTGTTTAAAAATGGGCATGATGGTTACAGGCAAGACTCATCTGAACTTGCAGAGCTTGAAGCAAACCCTTTTATTTTGATGGCCAGTATTGGGAGGGCTACTGGGAATAACCTTGTTGTCTTATTATTTGCTCTATTTCCATGTCATGATTTCTCTCCTTTCCAGTTTCCTCCACTATATCCCTCTTGCTCTGTAGTTTTTCTTTCCCTGGCCCTCCTTCCCTCTTTTCTTCTCATTTTCCTGTCTGTAGCACTCAGCTCCCTGCACTTTCCCTTCAGAAGCTGTCAGCCTTTTTCTATTCTACTATCTCCTCACCATCCAACCTCTCTGTGGCATATCTTTAGAGATATTTGGCAGTTTTGAAAAAGGGCTTATGAAATAAATGAGATTTATAACCTAAGCATGTGAGAAATTTGCTAAAGGTCTTAATTACCTGACAAAAAATAAGCTCATCACGAAGATTCACTAGGGATTAATTGTGTTGGGAAACCTGGGAAATTTTTTCCATTTTCTGCACCTGGTTGGACCTTCCAAATAAGATAGTAGATGCCTTTTGAGCAGGCACATGAAATTGTAGTTTAGAGGAGATTTGTGTTAGAAACAAGGTACTTTTCATTCTCTCTCTCTCTCTTTTTTTCTTTTTTTTTTTTTTTGTCTTAATGAGGGTAAAGAGTTATGTGATTACAGCTAAGTTACTGCTTTGAGAAGTATTTGTTGTAAAAGTTGTAGAACTTCCTGTAATACTCATTGCAGCAGGGTTTGACCATGTACTGTTTTTTAACAGCACACCCATGGGTTATGCCATACCACGATATCCTTCTCCATGAATCAAATCTCTGAGCAACTACCTCGCTTAGAAGCTACTTTTGGAGAGCAGAGTTCAGGTAAGACTCAGATCTGAAATGACGTTATATGGCTTTCCTTGACCCATAAGCTCTACAAGTGTGGACCTGGCAAGCTTAGCAAAAGAAACCTACAAGGTAGCTCTGTAATTGCTTCCCATCAACCCTTCTTGGTGTAGGATTTCATCCTCATTTCAGTGTTGAAACTTTCCTTTCACATGTGTATTAAAAATAGATGGAAGCCAGGATATTGGGCCGGTGCCCTTGAAGAGTAATTTTAAAATTTTAAACAGGATAGTATTACTAATCATGAAGAAAGAGAAGATGAGCATGAGATTTCTGGAGTATTTTCCTGCTCTATAGCACAGGCTCCTTCTGAACAAATCACTGAATCTCTTTAGTCCCTGAATTAGTCAGCCTTCAAAATGGAAATGAAGTATTTCTTTTTCCATTTTGTGTGCCTTGTGTGTACTCAAGTTGAAAAACACTCTGCCTGTTGTCACTCCCTCATTCCATACCTCACTTTTGTAGTGAAAAGGGGAAACTGTATTCGAATGAGGAAGATCAAACCATGTGAATATTATTCTTTCTTTGCTTCACTTTTAATCTTCATGTTTAAATAGTCTCAAGGCTTCCTCCTGAAGTCTGTGAATTTAAAATAAAAACAGGTTCTCAAAGCTCTCTCCAATAGGGAGGAAAGACTCCTGTCCCAATGTACCCTGGAATTAAACCACGGATATGCTTGCTGTTCATCTTGCTGCTTTTGCAAAGTAGGTTTATTTTTGCTATTTTTTTGCAACTATTCCCAGGGATCTTCTATTGAGGGTCCCAAACATATGCCAGCTCAATGGTCCTTCAGTTTATTTTTGTCTTCCTGCAAGGTAACCATTCATCCATGGAGTAATTTCTTTAAGTGAGGCATTTTAATCCAAATTGCCAGTTAATACCTGCAGAGTCAGCTTCCCTCCTGATCAGCTCTGGAAATGAAGGAAAGCTTCAAAAGCTGCTGTAAAGTTTTGCTTGCAGAAATTCTGAAGGGGTTTTGAAGCACAGAGCAAAACTAGTAGGGCGAGCTCTGAACCTTTAGACAAAAGACAAAACCATATGGAAGAAAAATTCAGGTGTTAAATTAACTCTGTGTCCCAGTCTCTCAGGTCATGTGGGTCTGGGTTCGGTTCTGAAGGACCCTGTGAGTAAAAAATTAGGTTGGAGTCTCACTTCACTGTACTAGTTCATTAATGTAGAATGAGCAGTGTTATGTTCTTCTGAGCTTCTTCCTCTTGAACTGATTGTCTGATTGTTACCTGTGGTACAGCAAAACTGAATGATCATTGCACTTCTTCTAACTTGTGTGTCTATGTAAAGGCAGCTACTGTAGTTTCCAGTTAAACCTAAAGGGAGTAAGGCAAGGATCTGTCAAACTATATCTGTGCAAGTGCATTTTCCTTTGAAAACATAAACCAGACATTCAGACCACCACCCAAGCAGCCTTCCATATCAGAGTACATATGGAATTTGAGGGAGAACTCCTCTCTGTGTATTTACATATCTTTGACTTATTTGTAAATATTAATGGGTCCCAAGTGCATGAAAAAATCTCTTAACTAGAAAATCATGCAAGTCTTCTATTACATCTCCACCGGAGCTGCAACTGAATCAATAGGTTCCTCTCCAAAAATTAGAATGAAAGGCATCCCAGTGTGATAATTCTTCTAAATGTTGGTGGCTGTTCCTATGTAATATTGAAGGAGAAGGAAAGCACATGGATGCAAGCCAAGTTCAAATAAACTAGCTAAATCCATGTCCTGTTGCTCTGTTGGATCTATTGGTTTCTGTAATCTGCGAGGAGGAGAAAAAGCTTCTGAACTTTATTGGAAGTATTTTTAGGTTTTAAGCTTGCAGTCCTACCAAAAAAAAAAATCTGTATTTCCATTCCCCCTGCTATTTCCCAACTCTGTACAGCCTCTTCTGCCTGCCAGCAGCCATCTAGATTAAAGAATTAATACTGAGAAGAATTACACAAGAAAAACAACACCTGTAATTAAAAAGGCTGTAAGTTACCAACCAGTGCTGTATAATTAAAAATGTCAGTAATTTTAATTGTTCTCTAGTCATTCATTCATGGCTTGTTCCTTTTAGGTTTATTATAAAAGGAAAAATATGGCTACCTGCTGATAATAACTGCATAGGCTAAGGACTTTGTACACCTTTAGTTGGAGGGGATATAAAGCTGTTTATATTTTCTTGTAAATAGTACAAACCATGTCACAATGCCATTCCATTTATTGGACTCAACCTTTAAGCAATCTGTCCATAATTGCACTAGAAAATGTTCAGAGCAATTCTCCAGGCACTTTTGTGGACATTAAATATCCTGAATAACATATGATTGTTGTACTCGGAGCACTAATAATAAGCAGAGCACTGAGTGTTCTTGCTTTTAAAGCAAAAAATAATTGTTTCTGGAATACATGAATTTAAAAAAAAAACCTCTGGCTGTTCTAACTGATTATAAATTATTATTATGTTTTGACTCTGGAATAATGTAATTATGTAACACAAGGATAAGGAAGGGATGGGTTAAAGGGAATTGTAATTACACACAAAACTGAAAAAAAAAACCAACCCTTGTCATATGTTTTCTGTCATCCCAATTAATTCAGCTGAAATTGTACAAATTCTGCCTTCTAAGATAGCATTCAGGCTCAGGATGGCTAAGAGCTGATTGCAGTTTTGCTTAGAGTTTTGCACAATACAAAAGTTCTGCTAAATCCATCCAAATTTTTTTTACAAATATAAATTCAGTTACCATACCTGTGCAGATGACTGAGACTGACCACTGTGATGTATATGATTCATTCAGTCTAAATTAAAATCTACCATCCCTTGCAGGTCTCTTATCCATCAGCTCTAGCTGATAATGGCTAACAGTTCTTAATCACCTCCCTTTGAGCCTACTTCGTTTTAATGTGAAAAATACGTGTCCTCCTTTTTATTTAAACTTTAATGAGAAATAATTTTATAATGGATATGTCTCAAACCTGCAGGTATTTATTTTCTAGGATCTTTAAGATATGGCCTACTGTATGCATCTTAAAACTGACATGCTTTCTTCTAAGTTCTGCCATTCTCTTTGCATTTTTGATTGCTACAGCACTACTTTCTTTGTTCTCAGCCAATGTACTCTTCCCCAAAATTCTGCTGCAAGATTTTTTTTGTTCAATCCATCAGCTGACTATGTTCTATTCCTTTTTGCATCCTGGTTCTACAATCCCTACCCTATAATTCTTATGTGGCTTTCAGAGATCCTCTCTGCACCCACCCAGTGCTTAAAAGTCCAGTTTCTACTTCAGAATAATCATGAGTAACTTGGTCCACATATTAGACTTCCAAACAAGAATATTCACACATTCTGCCATCAACAGGCCTTGGGATGAATCCCTCATAAGCTTCTGCTGATTTACCTCCTTACTTGCCTTCAGGTGCCTCTTTCAACGTGGTGACTCTCTCTGCATGTTGGAAATGACAAGATCCATTTTTACCTGGGGGCAAGCTACGCATTTACCTCTGCAGGAGGCACGTGCACAGGCAGTTCCCATGGTTCAGCTAATGTGCTGGAAATCTGCCCTCCAGCTTTTCTCTCAGTAACTTCTTCGTAAGCCACACCATCAGGCTTCACCTGTCAGCCTCACCTTTGCTTTGAGCTAAGCTGATTTCCCTGGTTCTCCCTCAGTTCACACACTGCAGTGGAATATTTAAACTGAAAGAAGCTTTCTGTGCAGTTAATTATTTTGCCATAATGTTTCTTTTCACTTTTTATCATAAAACTTTTTTCTCCCAATAACACCTTAAAGGGAAAGGGTACAAAGTAAGCCCAAATGCTTTCAGTTGCTGAAGCAAGAAGTCTGCAGTGAAGCTTCTGCTTAACAAAGTGGAAAATAAGAAAGCATGTTTTATTCCATCATTTATTAAAATTAAGGAAATGAGGGCCTCATTTGCTTAAAAATTGTCTATTAGTATTCACCTGGTGGCAAGCAGCCTTAATCTCAGACCATTAATGAAAACAGAAGCTCATTAAATAGTAATTCTTTTTAATAGTGACAGTAGCTTGGGTTTGAGCAGCACAGTTCCAAGTTCCCATGTAAATTGTTCATGATGATCACCAATAAGAGATTTTTCTGTACCTCTCCCCACTCCCAAGAGCTTTCCTTCCATATGTAATCACTTATGAATGCCAGACAGTGGAAGAGCCTTGCATCAAGGGAAAGAGGTTTCACTGTCAGATTTCTGATGTTAGAAAACAGGAAAGAAGCCTTTGGATACAGAGCAGGTGAATTAATTCTTGAACAGGGGAGGAGTGTCCCCAGAGACACGAGAGCTTTGGGGGTCATTGAGTGCTCTTAGCTTTTGGCCAGTACTGCTGTGGTTTTAAAACAACAGGAGGCATGTTGAATTCTTCTGCTTTGGCAGCTGCTGCTTGGCCTCTGTTAACAAAAATACCAAGCCAACATCCTGTTGATTATCTCTTTTTGACCATTGCTATGTTTTCCCTTCCTCCAAATTATTTAGTCATTAATGCCAACTTGTTGCTGTGTAGGCTGGTTGTCTTGCACTACCTAACTATTCACATAATAAAGACCTAAAGTAACGGACAGAGTGCTCTTGTGCTCATTTCGTATCCATAGCTAAAGTTCCCACTCTCCTTCAAATATTGTAAATTTTTCTTTCCTCTCATTACAGTCCTCATCTGTTCCACTGCTTTGCATGACACAAATCACTACCTTCATTTCAGGCAGCTGAGTTGCTTGTGACTCTTCTGATGAACAACTTCACACCATGTGGCCCTATTCCTTCCCTACCATTATTTTGTTCTCCCCCCCATGCTACGGATGTCGCTGAGCCAGGCGTTGTTGGTTTTGGTTTTCTGTGTGGGAAGATTGCTTAGTGCTGCTCCTTAGACATGGTTAATTCAATTACTGCCAGATTTTCTAGGCCTCTTGACATTGTTGTATATAGTTCTTTAGTAATAATATCATCAATTATTTAAATTTTAATTAGTGCTTGCATTAATTACATGATCCTTTACTACAAGGGGAAAGAGATCTCAGTTTCCACAGTTATATGACCGTGGTTTGTCCTTCGAGGCATCATTGCTAATACTCATCAAATAGCCATCATCCTATGGGTATGCTTCTGTGGGTCCTTGCTGTCTGAGGACACAGCATCTCTAAGTTATTAAAGCTTTATGTCACTGGACTGGCCTCCAGTGGATGGGAGCTGACACATTCCTAAACCCCGTCAATTCAGTTTTGTCCTCCCTAGTGCCAGTCTGAACACAGGTGCTGCTGGGATCCCTGGCAGCAAACCTGGCTGATGTTTATGCTATAAGGGGCAGAGTTGCTGTCTGACTCCTCGCACACACCCCATCATCTTGCCCAGACTGCTGGGAGGGTTGGGCAGGAGAGGGCTTTGGGAAGGTCAGGGAGATTATGTGCTTACTTGCTTCAGGCTGATCCCCAGAAAGATCTTTTCATACAGGTCACCAAGACCTGATGTTACCACATCAAAAGCAGAAGGTGAATTCTGGTTTAGGCTGCCAGATGAGACAGCTGTCTAATGGAAAATCTGGCTGAGAAAGGTTTGTGATAAGACTGGAAGAAGGTTAGCACGGCATCCCAGTAATAGCCCTCGTTAGTTCTTCTGACTTCACTCTCCGTTGTAGATTGCAAATAGCTTTTTACAGTTAAGATTTTTATCAGCATTCATAATTCCACTGTGTTATTAGCTACTACAGTTGCTTTGGGTGACAAAATCTTCTTCTGTGTTTAGCACTCACTACTACAAGAGGTAGATGTCATGTGCAGCAGCAAACACTGCAGCCAAATACAATGTGCCTATTAAGTGTGCTATTACCATTCCTGTACTGTATAAGCCCTAGGTTCATTATAGCATGTGTGCTGTGGGCATTTCTTTCTGTGACTGTATCTAGACAGTGTTTTTTTATTTGGTGAAGTTTGTTTCCAGGAACTAGTGGTAGGGTTTTGGGGGATGAAGTGAAGATTTTGATTCCTTTCTTTCTGCTACAATGTTCTTTACTGACCAAAGGTTTATATGCTCACTGTTTTTAATTTTGTTTGCTGCTTCGCAGTTGGAAAATGGAGTCTGCCCACAGATAAAGCAACAGGGAAAATTACTGCATAGAGTATAGCAAGTAAAATGTTACCCATAGAGGTTTAAAACCTTCTAAAAGAAAGGATTTTGTCCCTTCAGGACCAGAAAAGTTGTGCAATTCATTCTGTCCTAGTTACCCTCTTGCCTACAATGTGCTATTCCACTGTAGCAAGCACCTGTCAGTACTTAAGACTGAGAACAGCTTTTTGGTGCAACTGAACTAAGGTGACAAGAAATAATTAAAATTTCTGTTGTTTTGGGAAATAATGTGAACGGTGGATTTACAGCAACCAACAGTAAAGGAGTTGTTGCTTTTCCTTTCTGTTCCTTGTCATCACTTACCCCCCTGACTTCATCCCTGCACGGCCACGTGGTACAAGCAGCATTTGTTGGCAGCCTCTTGTCAGCATTACCAACACAGCCCCCACGAGATCTGTGGTGATTCACACAAACTCTGTATCCCATCTCTGTGGTGCCCTGTAATGGCCTCATCCATGAAGCAGTACACTTCCATCACCCAGGTACTTAAACTATTTATAAGAAAATAAAAACAAATTGTCTTTTTCTGTGTCTCATGATGATTGTCATAATGCGCCTATTCTGAAAGCCAAAACCAAATTGTTGTTGTTACAAAAACACATGTAATTTTTATGGCTAATTAAAAACAGGCAAACACAAAACCAAGCACAAACACAGATACATAGAAGGACATGTCAGCAGTAGAATTATCTTCTGATGCTGTGCCACATAGAAAGGAATTAAATGTATCCAGGATATATATGAGTTTGTTTGGGGGTTTTTGGCTCAATATTTAAAAAAAATCGGTTGGATTTTCCAAAGGATCTTTTTTTGCACATACTAACAGATTTTTGTACTTTAATTGGATAAACCTGCTACCTTGGTTTGGTCTGACACAAAATTTCAAAAAGTCTGGCTGAAAAAAAATTGGATTGGACAAAATAGCTTTCACTGGAAATCCAAACTTTTCATAGAAGCACATGCTTTTCAGTACAATGAAATAAAAAATGTAATCAAAGTCTTGCCTTTCCTCCAAGAATGGTTCCAATAGATGATGTTGAACAAATCCTTTTTCAGCTGCCTGGAGCTAGTGATGATCATAATCACAAAGGGAATAAGAACATGAAAGAATAATCACAGCATCATAAAATTGCTTTTGCAGAGATTTTTGCTTTCTCCTAAAAATCTGCATTTTCTGATTCTGCTTCTACTTGAGGTCAGTGGCTGAATCACTACTAATTTGAGTGGAACCACAGCCTACTTGCTTTGAGATAAAAATGTAACCATAATACAACTGTAGTTGTTAATCCTTTTTTGTGAGCTAGCAATGGATGCTGTTGTGACCCATTACAAGTCCTTTCTTGGAATGTAAGATTTAAACAATGACCTACCAGTTTGGCTGTGGTGACTCCACAGCACTAACACAGATTTAAACAGCACTAAATGCAAACTGGTGTTGCAGCACTCTCTGTCTTAGCTTGTCTGCAGTAAGGCATGCTGTTGTATAACTAATCATATAGGGTTCATGTTAACATGCAGTAAAAACATGCATTTTACAAGCATGACATTACACCTTTCACGTGGTCATAGTTTACATTATTTCCACAGAAATACGTGATACACTGTGATCCACAAAGTGCTGTACACACCTAAATATCGCATGAACACCAACAGCGTGGGGAACACAAAATATTGAATCTGAACAAATGGGTAACTCAGGGTAGGGGAATGCAGAGATTTTCACCCGTAGGTCACCAGTTAAAAAAATGGCTCAGATTAGTGCCAGGACCACACCAGATGTAACTTGGCAGGTGTTCATGACTGAAATGATTTATGTCCTCCAGCTTCTGTTGGACAAAGGGTTGTATCACACAAAACACGGTTGTTTGTAGCACCCACAGGACAGATCACTGTTTCCATAGAACAGCTAAGGTTTAGAAAGACTTAGATACTGTGAACTTTCCAGGTATGTTTAGGACAGAGTTTTAAGACTTGAAAATCACACAGAATTTTGTGTGGTTTTTCTTGCTGCAGAAAGAAGCAGTTTTCCTTCTCCAGGAAGGCTGGGTGGCACATCCTACAGAGTATGAGACAGTGATGTGATTGCACAGCCCATCCCCAAACACTTTTCTCTGTTGGACACCTGATCTTTTCCAAGGACAGCACATACTACCTGGGGCTGTCTGCTCAGGGCCTCCTACTGTGGAAGCATTTCTGAACCAGTCTCGCTCCTGCTACTTCTTTGCTTTCCCTCCCACTCCCTCGCTGTAGGTTTGTAGCTGCCTCTGCCTGAAAGAGAGCGGTCACTGATGTGTTTTTTAAGTTCAGGAGACATAAAGCAGATGTTCTTAGGAGCTTGACTGGGCACCCATGAAGAGGCCATTTCCATTCAAAGAGCATGACTGCTCTTTGCATCTCCCAACTGGACTCATTGTTATTTGTTCCTCATTTGCCTGATCTATGAATTCCTTACTCACCTCTTCAGCACAAAAGCACAAGTTCTTCTCTGACAGATACCCTCTTTATTGACCATTTGATCTTTTTGATCTATTTGATTCTGTGATATGAATTTATCCCTATCTATCTCTGCATCTGTCTTCAAGAACACACCTGGTCTATTGCGGTTCTTCTGTGGATGCCCTTTTGTAACAAACAAAGCTCTCCTTTCTCCAAATCTCAACTACAGAAATAAGTATAGCAGTCATACATCATCACTGTGGCTTCATAAATCTTTTCCTTTAGACAGTAATGGAAAGCTTGAAGTACTGGTATCTAATAAACTGCTGTGATCTATGAAACATGTATTTTGCAGAGAGTAACAAAAGTCTGTGCTAATAGATCTCCTACTTGATAATAGGGAAGCTGAAGGCACAGCCAACACTAGCAAGTACAGTTGCTTCTCTGAAGGTCCTAGTGTAGCAGAAGTGCATAGGATTTGTCCCTAAGACACTAATGGGGGTTTCTAAAAACCCCTGTGAAATCAGAGTGAGCGCTGTTGATCCATGGGCAGTGGAGACTGGAAGGAAAATGGTATGAATCTATGGGTAGGAGAAAATTTCTGCCTTCCAGCTCCTCCTGTCTCTCGATGACTGACATGGAAAAGCAATATGCTATGTCTTATCTCCCTCAGAGACAGCTGCTGAAGCTTCTAGTTGTCACTGAGGTCTGGGCTAAGTGGGAGCTGGGACTCCTCATCTCTTAGAATGGCAAGTCACTGCCTCTGCTCCATGCTTTCAGAGACAGCAGATTGCTTTGCACAGTGCCCAAGGCTTGTAGAGGGGCACAAGAGGAGATCCCAGCTCTGTGAAAGCATCAAGCCCACGTTGTGCCACAGCTGCATTTGCTCCGTGCTGGTGTGTGCACAGGTGCCTGCATTAATGCTGTGTTCCATAAAGAGATGAGGTGAGCTGAAGGGCGTTTATTTTGCTGCCCTAGAAAGAGAGCCCTGCTTTCCAGGAGCCTGTGGGCACCTATCTCCTCTGCCTGCTCTGTGTGGTATAAACAGCCTATTTGGGACACAGTGCTCACTGCAGTGGCTGCTCACCCAGCATCAAAGGGAGCTTGTGTAGCACCTTAGGGCTAAACATCTGCCTTCTCTTAGCCATCCCTTAGCATGGAAGTAGCAGACAACTCCTCCTTTGTTCTTCAGACTGCAGAGAGGGGCTGGTGTTGCCACAGGTATTGGTGAAAACACAGGTGAAGATGAGAGAGCTTCAAGTGCCCTTACACAGCTGAATAAGGGCATTGCAATAATCATTTGTGCACTTTTTGTGTGAATCCACATCTTGTGAACCTAGGGGAAGTAATTGCACATGGAGAAGCCATGAAGGAAAGGAAAAACACACTGGAGATAGGTGACAAGCAGATTTTGCCAGCCCAGAAGACTGGGTTTTGTAGGCAACTAAAACTCATCATGAAAACAGCTGGCTTATTTACTCTGCCATGCTCATAAGCAAGAGAGGCTATTCCAAGGGACGACTGCAAGCTGCTTTTTTAGAAACTGCAAAACTGCTACACCTGTGTTTTGTGTCTATTTTGAGGCATTTGTTTAATGACTGGGGGGAGAGCTGGGGGAGATAATGGCAAAACCACATTTGATTTCTGTCTTTCAACCGAGCCTGGGCAGGCAGAAATGGACACTTCTGCTGTTGATTGTAGCACAGATACTCAGTGGCACAGAGCACTTTGGCATCCAGCACACCCTCTGCTTGCCTAAATTTACAAGCAAATGAAATTTTTAAGAGCACTACAAGGAATTCTGAGTGGATCCCATTCCTCTGCTGTAAGGTCATTATGCAGCACAAAATTAGGTGGCCTCAGCTAACAGCTGATGTCCCCAGCACACATGAGCCTAAATATAGCAGAGGCTGGAGGAAATTCCCCCGTTATTTTCCAGATTGTCCGTGGGAGTAAAACAACAACAAAAAGGTAAAAAATTGTACAACTTGGAGAGCATAGTCTGACTTGCAAATACAGCTTGTCAGTGCAGTATAGAAGCCCCTGCTGAGTACAGAGATGAGTCTCTGTATTTCTGCTGCGTGCTGCTCTGGAAACCAGGCACTCCCAGGCAGGCTGTGTAGGGCTGTGCTGAGAGGCTGCAGCCATAGAGCAGAAGAGCAGATGCTCACAAACACCTCCATGCATAATGTTAATAAGAGCATCAGGCTTTAAGTGAGGTGGGAGGAAAGCGTGGATGTTTGTTTGGGTGTATTAAGATATGTTGTTGAAGAGAGCTGGCAAAAAAAAAAGAGAATCTCTAGAGATATGAATGAAGGGAAAGATGTCTCTGGGGTTTAGAGAACAGAGAATGGCAGGAATTAGTTTCTCCCTCCTGCAACATGCTCTCCTTTAGGTGTGAACTCCAACGGCATGGATTTCTCTGCAAGATTGGGAGGTGAAATAACAAGCTTTAGGCAGTAATTCAAATTGATTGTCACATTCTTGCCTCTTCACACCAGCATCTTGGTTTTGACATTGGTGTTGCAGCGCTGCTGAGAGGCAGCAGATGCCCAGGTCCTTGCATCAGATCTCGGTGGAGGAGGAATTAGGCCATATCCTAAATGGGCATTTTAATTGTCCTCGTTTTAGTTACAGATACTCACCTGTGCTAAAATGATCAGAGGGCACCCTGGGAAATCTGCTATTCTGCAAGAGGTTTCACCTGCAGCAAAATCTGACTCCTGTTTGCAGGACTGAAACCACCGGCAGGGGTCTTCTCCTTTGCCTCCTGTAACACGTTCATCTTGAGACGCCTCTGTGGGAAAGCTCTTTTCAGTAGAGCCAAAACCACTAACATCTCTCTTCCCAAAAGGTATGAAATTACTTCTGTTGTAAGGAAAGCGTGAAAGATAGGATGTATGTAGCTGTGCCAGATTTTTGTCTTTTCTTGAAACAGATCACTTTTAAAATGGAAAACAGCATGCAAACTCTACTTTTCAAATAAATACATGATTTTAAGTATGTAAGGAAAGATCTTTTCCCCTTCTTCCACTAGTGGAAACAACTCGATTATATCTGAAAGCAGAGATAATCTCTGTTTGCTTTCTACATCCTAAAAATGTTGGAAAATGTTTTAGAGTAAACCTTGCTGTTTGTTTTGGTGGGAAAAGAATTGTCCAGCTTCTCTTTTCAATCATGTTTTCTTTATTTATTATTTTGTAATCTAGTACTGCTTCAAGTTCACCTGAGGCTACTAAAATCTGAGAAAATTCATTGTGTCTTTCTGAATAATATATGCTTTTTCAGAAAACATCAAGGAATGTTTTGAAACTTTTTCTACATGAAAAATATTTAAATATTTCTCCTTGGAAAAAACACCAAACTTCATTAATCCTGAAACATAATATTTCTTTATATGATGCACTTTAATGGTCTTCATTTTATTTCAAATAAAATTGATAAAAATTTTGAAGAAGTTAGAATCAGAAAGTCAGTAGGTTTCATTTTGAAAACATCTTTTTGTGTTCACTATATTTGCTAATGTAGTTGAATATATTTTTTTCACCAATGAAGAGTTCAGAGGGACTGATTTCATTAGGTCTTGTGTCTTAGAGCATTTTAAAGTTTGTGGGTAATGTTTCTTAGTAGATGGAACCAAAGATCACTAACTCCTTTGGACAGGGACTAATTTAATTTTTGCATCTGGACTGAGTTGGTTGTTCCAAATAAAAGGGGAAACAAACTGAAAAAATGCTTTAATAAACTTTCTTTACATGGTCACAACCATCTGGAAGGAAAAGCCTCATCAAAAACATGTTCTTTGGCAATACTTTAATCTCTTAAAAAAATTTCTTCAGTTATGAAATCAGGAGCTCTATCTCTGCACAAAACAAAGTTTTTTTAAATTGTTTTTTCATTTTTTTTCCTGACTGCACATCTCCAGGAAAAAAAAAATCGGGAATTAAAAAATTATAGGATTAAATAAACACAGGTTTGAATTCTTCCATTTCTTATTCATGGAAATGCTGGTGTTTTGCACAAAACCTTTTAAGAAATCGTATTATTTTGAATATCAGAAAATATTGAGGGGAAAATTATCTTCTCCTCAAAAATGTCCAGCTTTACATAAGACAAAAATAATTTGAAGGGAATAGCTGCTGTAATGCTTTTATTTGAGAAGCATTACTTTTATGATGTAGTTGGTCTGTAAAAGTGTGTCTACACGTTAGAGGTGCAGAAGATTTAATGAGACATAAAAGCTGAGGTAGAATGATAAGGATGGAAAAATTTATAGCCACAGTTGTTGCTTCTTTGAAGTGTTGGGTTTACTAGACTTTTTCTTTCAAACAATGGATGGCAGGCAAATAATAAAAGACAGTGACACAATATCCAAACAGTTTCCCTGGGCTGGCCAGATAAGCTAGAAATGCTGGTAATACGATCTATGGGATTTTTAATTGACTTTTCATGAACAAAAAAGCAATTAGAAAAGGGAGAAGAGAAATTTTTAAGAATAATGACTGTCAGGACTTCAAAGAGCTACCACGTTTTTCAACTTTGAAGGAAAGTAACATCTTATAGCAAAACCAAAAAAGGCAGAAAATTAGGGAATTTAATGCTTGTTCTGGTTTAATGATATTTTGTGGTTCCTAGACTCTT